CAATGAAATATCTTTTATCAACAACCGATCGAATATTATTTTTTTCCATATAAACAAACACAATTTAACCGAACTTCAATTAATTAGATATTGAATTACTCACATTTCATTATCATCGTCGTTGATTTGAACTACGCAGCATCGCGGCTCTTCGTGAAACTGATTTCCACCGCAAATTTACAATAATGTTCTAGAATTTCTAATAGGAATGAACTTGTCTTGAGCAAGTGATGCGCAATACTGCGCATGACTGCTATGGTGCCAACTTCGTTATAGTTAATTATTGCAAAAAAAAAAATGTTGTTGCTATATAAAACAAGATAGGGGAAGCGTCCCTACGCCATTTTGGAAGCGTCTTAATTTCTAATGAATTTACAGCATATTAAATTACAAATAGGAAAGATAAAAAGCAAATTTGAATTGAATGAATCGAATAGGAAAATTAGCAAATTTTGAATATACAACGAACATTTTTATTTTGGTTACAAAAAGATGTAATTACTCACTGCGAATTACCAAAATCTAATTGGATTGTCATCTCTGAACCATTCAATTTGGACAACAATGTTGAATATTTGAAACAGGAACGGACGAAGACGCTATCAACACAAAACCGCTGGCTGAACTCCGCTGTGCGCGTCCCCCCACCGAAACTGTTGCCAACTGATCGAATTAAAATCAAATTTGAAAATGCCTTCCTCTTGTGGTTTAATTAAAAATTATTGTGGCGCTAATAAATCAGATTAAAGAATAATTAATAAAATATTTTACGCAAATATTCCAAATAATTCATTCTACAATCTTTACTTATAGTATGATCGATAAGACATAATAAATAACGTCATTAACATCTTCCTGCTTCCTGCTTATTCTCTTTGAATGTACAGTTGCCTACAATAGGCAACGTACATTTACTTTTAAAAAATATGTATAGTCTGTATCACAAAATCTGATACAAAGATGTTCTTTTAGAATTATGTCAATTTTTTTTCTTTATGTTATTCAATTTCTTTCCCATTGGAAATGTTATCTGTTATGAATATATGTAAGATCGTGCTAATTGAGTTGCATACTATAAGATTTTCGAAATATAAATAAATTCAAATTTGAATATCGGAAGAAAAGAAGTGGATACTTGATAGTTCTTTTTGGTCAAACAGGCAAGCTGTTGGCTTTTGGTATGTTGACTTTACCTGGATATGAGATAAAGTTCATTGGCGACGACTGCCTCAATGAAATTCTCTGGCTGGGATACGAATGCCAAAGTCTAGAGACTTCCAGGAGGGAAGGGGAATTCCATAGGTCAGAGTACAACAGTAGAGGGAATAAAAGAGATGGCAGCGACCGCTTCTGTTTACTGTGTCTCGCGTAGCTCATCGAAAAAGTGGCTGCAATAAAGAAAGTTGGATCAGTTCAAGAAAAGAACAATAATCTGTGCCGTCGAAGAAGTGCAGCAGTTATACAAGATGCCCACATGCTCCAGGGATAACTTGACACGAATGTGGTCAAGCAACGAAAGCTTGAATGCTGGGAGCAGCAGCAACACAAGCTCGGGCTTCCACAGTCCAGGTTCTCCGATCTCCCTGTCGCCGATCTCCACGTCTCCGGATTCTACGCTGAAGAGGAGGAGGATTAGGAGGGCCTCCTCCTTCGGGACGGTCATCCAGGAGCCGTTCGTTATTCAATCGGATTGCAGGGATTCTCGGAGCCAAAGTCCCACCGAGTTTCAGCACAGCACCGAAGAACCGAAGATCTCGCCGCTGGTTTGTCTGATCGGATGGTACCCGTGCTTCCTGATGAAAGTAATCAAAGCAATAATCATCGCTTTTCTGCCGCACTCGTTCAAACAGCTGATATTCGCAGTGCCGATATTCTGGTTCTCTATGTGGTTCTGGTGCTTGCGACAGATAGTCCAGCTACCTCTGACCATCTTCAAGTTCGCACTGTCGCTACTTTTGACGCCTTCTTCGGAGAGGAACCGGAAGAAACGCACCGTTCTGATAAGCGGCGGAAGCACAATACAGGCGTTGCACCTGGCCAGAAACTTTTACTCGGCCGGAGCGCGCGTCGTCGTCTGCGAGGTGGACGGATACTTTGCTCTTGCTAGATTCTCGATGGCCGTGAGCAAATTCTACACGGTGCCGAAACCGACGAGCGACCAGCAGCAGAACTACGTGAGGGCTCTGTGCGAGATCGTGGACAAGGAGAACGCAGTCTATTACATTCCAGTGAGCGCGACGACTTCCGCATATTACGATGCCGTCGCCAAACCGCATCTGGAATTACTCGGCTGCACCTGCTTCTGTCCAGGCATCAAGGAAGTGTGGGCTCTGGACGACACCCTCGAGGTCTTGAGGCGATGCGATAAGATGTCCATCAGAACGCCCGTCTACTATCCGATCACCTCCAAGGAGGACGTCGACAATCTGTACGAGACTGGGGCGATCAGCAGGGGCAGATACACCATGTCGACGGTGGGACCGAGCGGGCTTAGGGAACGCGCCAAGATACATCTTCCCATTTCCAGGAGCGACCTGAAAATGCCGAACGATATTAGCGTGCACAGACCGTGGGTGGTCGTGCAGGACGTCGAAGGTGACCACTACTTCACCTGCACCACCGTCAAAGAATCGAAGGTCATAGCGAACGTTACCTGCAGACTGAATTCGGCCACCAACGATCTCATCCCCGTCGAGAACAAGGAGATCAGCCTCTGGTTGAACCATTTCTTCGGAAAGTTGAATCTTCTCAGACCGATCACCGGGCACATCAGTTTCCGCTTCGTGGTCAGCGAAGAGGGTAAAACTATCGTCCCGTTGAGCTCCAGGGTCGGGGTGAGTCTGCCCTACATCTGCTACACTAGCGTCCATCCGAGGCTGCTGTGGAAACCCTGCAAACATTTCAGTCGTCAGAATTCTGGACCTCTGGTCGTCGAGAACGGTCGGTACTGGATGCCCAAGACCGCCCTGGACACCATCAAAAGTCCGAGCGTGGACGCCGTCACCAGGCTCATCGGCACCGTCCTCGACAAGCGGGAGGCCCTCTTCGTCATCTGGGACCCGCTGCCCTACTGCGCCTACTACCACATGCAGTTGCCCTTCAGAAACGTTCTGGGCTTCATCAGACGGCAGAACAGCTTCCGCGCTCCCGTCGCCGCCCCCGTCAACTAACCCTTATAGACGACTATACAATCTCATTAGGAGAGAGAACCATAGTCTGCGTTAATCAAACCCGACATCCATCCTCATTGGGAAAGGGCAATTAATGTTAACCCTTAGAAACCTTATTTATTTGTTCCACTAATATTGTATATATATATAAAAACACAAACATATATATATCAACAATAATATATATATATACGAATTAATTAAGCAACTGGTATGTACGTTATATTAACTTTTGGTACCATTGTATCAATGTTACGAGGTGTTACTTCCTCTGCACATAAATAAAGTATAAGAAAAACGAATCTTTACATTTCTCTTTCTCCGACTTCTCCCTTATACGCAATTCATACAAAATCAATTTAGAATACGTATTAATTCGAAAATATTATCATCGCATTATAAACAGAGACAAAATCCAATTACGTTCAAACTAATTGCATTCCGATGCGAGCGAGTCTCGTGCAAGAAACACGACCACAATAAAAAAAAAAAAGAAGGAAAACGAGAAAATACATGAACCGCGGAAACGAGAAAACTTCGGTAAATGCAAATGCACGCATCTGTGTCAACCGAAATGGACAATTTAAACCGGAAACAGATTTGAACTGTCATCGTGTTACTAATTTGTAATTAATGCAATTTCGCTCAGCGCAAAATGAATTGTAAACAATTTGTATACGATCGAATACGGAATGTACGTAAAAACAACTTACGTTATGAATCGTGAAATGAATCCAAGTTAATTGCACTTAAACTACGTTTTTAATTCGCCTTAAAATAGAACGTGACAGCGCGCAAATTGTATTTTAATTTTGTTTGTTTATACCTCCATGGCAATGCTTAAACGCAGATACCTTCGATAATTAGTTAATAATATTATTGGATATAAAAATTAATAATTTTATGATTGCAACGCATTTATATAAAGATAGATATTGGAGATTTATTTATTTGTTGTTGTTGTGTCTCCTCCTAAACGAGAAACCGTTTCGGAATGCTGTCGCGCTATTGAACTGTGCGCAATAGGCAGATTGCAATAAATATGTTGTTCCAGACGCGAGACATTATTTATAAATTTCCATGGAAACTGAAAAAGAAAAAAAAATAAGGTATCTTTGATCCACGACAATCAATCGGTTTTATTGGTCTAAAATTATATCATCTACCATTTTTAAATCTCTGATCCGACAATTGAAATTCGAAACAATCGAAATATCCATGGTAACCATGGAGATAGAAAAGTGTCACCGTTTAGAGGGACTTTGATCGCGGCTTTTACGATGATGCGTAGATCAATAATGTGGAAATGTTTGGATAATTCGTGAAAAGTAGACGTAAAAAATGGCGATTTGCCGGCAGGTTATCAAAAATGTGCTAGCAGTCACGTATTAGTTTAGTGTAAATACAGTTAATTACAATTTCAACTCGAGTAAACTTGATTTGAAAATGTCGAAGCAATTTCCCAAATTGATTGATTTTGATATATTTTCGAACTTAATTAGAATGGAAATACATGTTTGTCCCAATTAAGTTGAATTTTTGTATAATTATTTCGCAAAATAAAGTAATTGAGACTGATGTTGGATAAATAAAAAATAAAAAGGAGACGAAAACGGATGTCTGCACATTTTCGAAATTATTTTGCGCTTAATTAAATCGCCGATAAGGACGCGACTGTAACAAGTTAATTAAATTAAAGTCTTCGCAATTATTTATCGAAATCTATGTTTATTCGCAGTGTAATAAACAAATTTTCTTTAGTATTTATCTATAATTTGAACATAATTTTTGGCAATTAGCACAATTTCTTTCGCTTCATTTCCATCACGCTTCTTCTTGTCACGTAACGAATCTAAGTTTATGAAAACGAATGAAGATTGATAATGTGTATTTTTTTCGTTTCTTTTTTGTTTTGGGATTCGATTCGAGGTGGGCGGCGTTGGATTCGAAAGAATTTCACCCGTATTGATGTATGTTCGGTTCGCGTTTACGAGGGGGGGTTTTTCGCAAAAGACAATCAGAGATATCCCCGAAAGAAGTCGCGTGCAGAGGCGTGACACTTCCTCCTTCTGCTGCTGCTTCTGCTATTCCTCGTTCTCTTCCTCCACACCGTTCGTTGTCCTTAATAGACAATCGTTCCCATCTTTCGATCCCACTGACATCGATGTTCGTCTCTTATTTTTTGTTTTGTTTACGCAACGATTTCTACTGACTTTGATCTTCGAAAAAAATGTTTGTGGAATTTAGTGAACGCGTTTAGATTGGGGATTTTGATGATGAAACGAAATGACTCATTTTTGTTATTTGTTGAAATTAGATATGTTTTAATTATTATTAATTAGTCAACAAAAATGTTATCTTTTTTGATTTCGGGCTATTTCGTGATTTTCTCAGTAATAAATTGGAAATATTTGTTAATATGAATGTGCAGATTAAAGTTGAATTTTCCATTAATAATACTAAGTTATTAATATTTCAATGTCTACTATAGGTTTTGAATAAAACGATTACAAAGTTTAGTAAAATTATTCGATAAAATCATTAACTCGAATTTTCGAGATTTTCCCAGTAATAAATTGGAAATATTTGGAAATATAAATTTGTAGATTAAAGTTGAATTTTCCATTAATAATATTAAGTTATAAGTATTTCAATATCTACTATAGATTTTTAATAAAACGATTACAAAGTTTATTTAAATTATTACATAAAATCATTAACTCGAATTTTACTGATTTTCTCAGTAATAAATTGGAAATATTTGAAAATATGAATGTGCAGATTAAAGTTGAATTTTCCATTAATAATATTAAGTTATTAATGTTCCAATATCTACTATAGGTTTTATATAAAATAATTGCAAAATTTAGTAAATTTATTTAATAAAATCATTACTTCCAATTTTCCTGATTTTCTCAGTAATAAATAAGAAATATTTGGAAATATGAATTTGCAGATTAAAGTTGAATATTCCATTAATAATGTTAGTTTATTAGTGTTTCAATATCTACTATAGATTTTGAATAAAACGATTACAAAGTTTAGTTAAATTATTTGACAAAATCATTACTTCCAATTTTCGTAATTTTTTCAGTAACAAATTGGAAATATTTGGAAATATGAATGTGCATATTAAAGTTGAATTTTGCATTAATAATATTAAGTTATTAATGTTTCAATATCTACTATAGGTTTTGAATAAACGTTTAGTTAAATTATTACATAAAATTATCACTTCCAATTTTCGTGATTTTCTTAGTAATAAGTTGGAAAAATGTGAAAATATGAATGTGCAGATTAAAGTTGAATTTTCCATTAATAATATTAGTTTACTAATGTTTCATTATCTACTATAGATTTCGAATAAAATGATTATAACATTTAGTTAAATTATTTGATAAAATCATTTCTTCCAATTTTCGTGATTTTTCCAGTAATAAATTGAAAATATTTGGAAATATGAATGTGAATATTAAAGTTGAATTTTCCATTAATAATATTAAGTTATTAATATTTCATTGTCTACTAAAGATTTGGAATAAAATGATTATAAAGTTTAGTTAAATTATTTGATAAAATTATAAAATTATTGAAGATTATTTTTTTGAGAGAATTTCGATGATTTGAATCAAGAGAAAAAAACTTGAATGGATGATTTTGATGGAACGAGTGAGTGAAGAAGGTCTTGTTGGATGAGGAGATGAAGAGAACAGTGCATTCTCAAAGTAAACTGTACGAAGCCACTGGTCTGACCTGCGCCCATCGCAGCAGATTAATTTGTATATCGTAAAAAGTACAAAGTACAGAGGTCTCGCACGGGTTACAGCAATCTGTTGAGCTTAAGTGCCACACAAAATCGATTAGGAATCGACCGAACGAACCGAAGAGAGAAAAACGCCAACAACCACAAACAATCCGACGATGAACGGAAGAAAATGAAAATGCGTTTCAAAATAGAAAATTTCAAATTGCAAACAGATAGAATTGTAGAGTAGTAAATAGTAAGTAGTAAGCGGGAAAGGGAAAACCGAGGCGGATGGATCAATAGATTTATCTTGGACGTTTGATCATCATCGGTGCCAGTCGCAAGGATTTCCCAAAGCGGAGAGGGGTTCTTCGTAACCATAAATCATAGTGCGTACGAACGGAACCACTTATTTATTCGTATTTGCGGATCTTCATTATTATGTTTCCCTTTTTTTCCTTCTTCTTCTGCAGCAGAAGAAAACGACTTGTTACATCGATATTTATTGCCTCGAATATTCGTGCGTACTTCGATCTCCACCTCCTCCACAGTTACATGCGATGCGATAATTCGCGAAGAACCAAACAAAAAACAAAACACATGACAACGCGTCGTACACATGACAACGAGTCGTACACATGACAACGCTCCAGATAATAAGACGTAACGAAACAATAAACAACGAGATCTATAAATAAGCGCGCATCTACAGAACTGCACGACTTATCACATCGCACAGTTGCACAACGTTTCATCGTTTATTTATTTATTATTGCCGTTTCGATTATTCTTCTGCTCTTGGGCAACTCTTTCGCGGTAAACTTTTTGCAAAAGATATCTCCTTTCTCTCCGCATGTTTGTTTGCCACCGATACCAAACATTCACACACCAATACTCATATCTATATATATATACATAAAATTTGTTTTTCTTCTACATTAATACGTCTCTTTTGGTAGTCTGCTGGCGCCTCCTGCCCACCAACAACACCAATTATCGCAAATCCGAAAATGACTAATCTAGTTGGTCATTTGCAATATCAGACTTCTTTTTTTTCGTAACAGATAACAACTGAAAACAAGTTACACTCTCGAGAAGGTGAAATCTTTTATCTATTATTTTTATTATTACTTCACGATCAACAGATTCGTTAGCAGCTACCGGATGTTCTCATCCATTATTGCCTGCATAAATGAACTTCACTGCTTATCTAATGAACTAACACTAACATAACTATAATATTTATAGTGAATAAGCGAAATTTCGTTCAAATTGTGTAATAATTTGTTTTTCTCTAAATTTCATCAAAAATATTTTCATTTAGTATATAGCGTATAGGTTTAGTATATAGTGACTGTGTTAAAAAAATGGAATGTTTATGTTTTAAGGTAAAACTCTAATGAACTTAATGATTTTTTTTGTCAATTTCATGTAAAATAACAATATTTAGTCTATAGTGCATGTGTATTTATATTACGCAAAATGTTTATGTTTTTATAGTATTCGCTCGAAAAAGCAGTGTT